GCTTGAACAAGATTTAATACTCAGAAGCATTTTGTGTCGCCTCCAGCCAACTAAGATAAGATCTGGCCTCATAAAAAAGTGACCCATTTACCAAGATAATAGTGGCTCTATTAGATGGTTTTAACTGTTCTGGCATTTGTATGACTGTACAGCCCAAGGCCAATGACATCTTGGGAAACTTTCAACATATAGTTTCCCCTACTTCAAATTATTTACACAGAAGAGGCTGGATCTGGAAGTGGATGCTCGCTACTCTCAGAGGTGACTCTAAATATTTAGATGCTTCACAAAGCTGGAAGCACAGAGCAGACACGCACTCCAGCTCCTACATGGTATCAGAGAAGGCCTAACACAGCAGAGTACCCACTTCTTGCCTCTGTCTAGCCCGCTTCTGCCAATTAACCTTTCTTGTCATCACAGCATCCTCTTTATTAGAGGTCAGCTCTGTTAAGAACCACTAACCGAGCTGCGGATCAATAATGCAACTAGCCTCACGTCCTTTGAGCAGACTGAAAAAGACCAACAAAAACAGCGAGTTGTGACTAAGCCTAGAGAGAAAACGGGGTGAACTTTGCAATATTTTTGGAACTGGTTCCTTTCAAACTGCAATATGCAAATGAACGTGACGTGCATCCCCGAGACGATGGCTGACTTCGTTATCTCCGCTGTCACCATCCTGCCACCCAGAACGTTCTCCAGCCTTGTCCTTCCAGACGCACTCAGTTTTCCCAGCCCATTAAAGTCCAGGTAACAATAGGTCCCAGGCACCTTGACTTCTACTGGATGGTGTATGTCTTCTTTAAATAAAACAAAGGATTGCTAATTCCCTGGGAAGAGAACCAGAAGTTGCACGTGAGCCAGTTCCTGATCAAGCAGTTTTCGGTACTAACTGACCCCTCGGCAGCCTTCGTTGCTTGTACTCTGGCAAAACCTATATCCCCGACGGAGAGCAAGACCCTGTTGTGCTCAGCACCGTAGAGAACCAGAATGGGGACAGCTCATGAGTTGTGGTGGGCTTTTCTCTCTCCCTTTGTCACAGCGTTGCTTCTTCAGCTGATACTGCCAGGCCCATTTCCTTTCTGCCCCAAATCGTTAGCAAGCTGATGTAATGCATTAATAAGCGAATCTTAATAAAGGGCACATAGGATGAGATGGGAAGAATCAATGCATCTAAATAAGGCCTCTAATACTGAAGCACAAACCCCACTCGGAAACACTGCTCTTGAGAAAACTCCAACTGCTTTTGACAGCCGAATGAAACAGGCTCGCGAGATCCCAAGAGGGGCAAAATGTTGTTCCGACCAGCTGTGAAACCATGAAGAGGGGGCAGAGGGGAAGGAGGAAAGGAAGGAACTGTGGAAGATTGGAGATGGAGTATGAAAGTGTTTACTGATTTGGAAAGAAGTCACTTGACTCGCTCAGAAGTGGCAGGAGCTGCCAAGTAAAGGCAAGTAGAAAAAAAAAGGCATTGCTTCATTTCTCACAATAATATCATCTCTCCGCACAGCCTATCCTTTCCTCTTGAGACCAACTCCAAAGTGAACTCTGTACAGCCCAATGGTAAAGGCCAACTCATTTCAAACAGGTGGGGTGGGGAGGGACAAGGGGTTTGCACACAGAAGCAGCATCTTTAGACTCTGCAAAACAGCTCCGAGCATCTCTCAAGGGACTTATTTGGAGATCCACCAACACACGGGTCACTTGGTGTGTGGTCCAGTTGGTCAGAGCTACGTCTAATGCTTTCCTCTTCAGCCCACATCCCATCTTTCCAGCTATTCCGGGAGAAGCCAAAGGCAGGGGGGAGAGGCTGTGGGTTGCTTTCCCAAAAGGTGCGTTCTGTTCCTGACATTTTGACTCCACTTTGTTCTTTAAAGGATGGGTTAGGCGTTTCCTCTGCAAAACGCTTGTTTTTGAAACAGCACGGAGCTCTTCGGTGCCTGGCAGAAAGGTCACTTGCCAGGATGCAATCCAGCCAGGAGCGACGAGTGAGCGCGCGTGCATAAGTGTGCACAATGGGCTGGGATTCATTTCACACGACGGAAAGGCACTCTTTCCACCCAGTTATGCTCCGGGGCATCCACTTCAAAAGACTACTGCTGCCTATTTGGGTGTCATCGTTGTCAATGGGCCACGGCGTGGGGTGCAGGTTCGGCATCTGCTTTCCAGAAGCAGGGAAGTTGAGAGAGAATTTGTGTTGTGTCATACGTCAAGCTTACTAGGCAACTCTTAGCAATTTTTGCCTGCTGTCAGCTAGTGCTGGGAGGCAGCAAGAAAAACAATAGAAGGGAGCAAAGGTAAAATAATAGGAAAAAAATATATTTGTTTCCATGTCTTAAGATTCTGCTCCCTCCAGCACGAGGCCTCGTTTTAAATAGAACACACAATCTTAGAGTCACTTTCCTGGAAATACAGTCATGCCTTTTGCTTGCTTAGAAGTTAGTGCTTTGTGCTAGAGCCTGGGTCAGACTTTCCAGTGGATGAAAAAACAAAAGTGTCAGTGGGCTGTGGTGGTACAGATCTAAAATACAAAGATGTCGAGACAAGAACCAGGAGCCGTGCGCTTAACGGGCACCTCACAGTGACGGGTCCGGCTGTGGGCGAGGGGCATGGGGGTGGACTTACCCACACAGGCAGGACTGTTATTATTACATACTTTTATACTGGAGCGGGGCGCAGAGATGGCCCATCATCTGGGATGGGACCCTGGGATGGGAGGCACTCTGCAAGCAGAGTGACAGTCCCTTTTCCCCAGACCAAACAGTGAAAAAGCACCTGCTCCTCATGCATGCAACATATCATCAGCCCCAGGGTCTTCCTCCAAAGGAAAGCGGTCCTGGAGGACTGAAATCCCGAACCCTCTGTCCACCCCTCTGCCCACACACACACCTCTACAAGCCAGCAAGGGGTACGGCTGTCTCTGTAAAGGATCAAGGAAGATTGGGCCAGCCATGGCTATTTTGGGGCAAGCCACTGAGGATATAACAGTTCTGTTACAGCAGCTGCTGTACATGAGATAAGGATGGAGGCAGTGGGCAGAGCTGTGTACAGGAGCCCTGGAGAAGCGAGTATCTGGCCACACAGCACACGGCAGGAGTACAACAGTATACCTGCGTTAGCATGATACTCCTCCTGGGCTATAATTTATCCTGCTTCTCTGGGTTAAATTAACACGGCTGTTCTGCTTCCAGTCCCCACCCTAGTGTGGGTATTGCTACACAGCATTGCACTGTGCTGTACAGATGTGCTCGCCGCCTGCTTGTATCCCAAGTCTGACTGTAAGTAAAGGCTGTCAGCGCCTCGCTTGAAAAGCAGACAACAAACTGAGTCACAAAATTACCAGAAAAAGAGGCACTGAGCAGGCACAACTACAAACCCCAGCTTTACACTTATGCTCTCCCTATCATTGGCTTGCTCAAGGCAGCCATGTGTGACTAACTATATTTTCCATTCTAATTAGAAAACACTTCCTGTCTCTCTTGTTAACTCACAACAGCTTCTGATGGCAAAAATTATTAGTGAGTCGTTCAAGTCGGATCCTGAAACTCCCTACCCAGCAAATACACAGGAAAATTTAGCTTTTTTCCTTTCCAAGTCGGCCCCCCGCACCTCCCCTTTGCACCACACTTTTGCGCAGTCAAAGAAGTCAGAGGTAACGAGTGCTGCATGTTTGTTATCCCTCAAAGCAAATGCAAAGAGAGACCCCCCCACCACCACCTGTTTTGATCTGGCTAAGAAACTCATTAACCTTTGCAGATATGCTGGAGCCCCACATAACACTGGTTTGAGTCTCATAGAGGAAACAGTGAAATGTAAAAGCAAAGAGAAGGTTTTCGGAGGGGTTAGGGCTGCAGGAAGGGAGAAAATTCTCACTGGAAATGGTCCAGCATGATGCTATGGCCTGCAAACTGCTACCAAAAGTCAGGGCATCGGGGGAGAGGTGAGAAGGGAAGTTGAATTCTGTCCTTCGCATGCTCACACCCTGTAAACATGATAATACTCGGAAAAATTTCAACCTAGACCTAGTTGCATGAGGTTGCTCTAAACAAAGGGCCTTGGGTAATACCTTGCAAATGGATTACAGCTCCTCAAATAAACAGTTATTACAGAGAAACCAGCCTCATCTAACTGCAATAACAACCTTCGAAAGGCCTTGTATTAAAAATGCCTGTGGGCAGAGACATTGGGTTGGCTGTCTATAAGGCACCAGGAGTGTATGCCACCATAAGAGAGAAAACTCCCACGCAGAATGTGCCGCCTTGCCCTTCCACTTCACGAGCTCAGTGGGTCAAATTTATTCTTTGCATCTCTGTGCTCTCTCTTGATTCAGTGCAGCTACACAAGGGAGAATCTGATCTGTTGTTTCCTGGAAGACCCTGTTTGAAAACTGGTCATCATAATGGGGCATCTTTAATGGCTTCGATCCCAGAGGACTGCAAAGCACTTCACAGGTTCTGCAGGTGTAGCTGTACTGAGATGTGGGCACCTTTAAGGTAGAGGCAGCCTCTACCCCATATAATAGGTAGGCAATCAAATTATTGAATGGAGGTTGCCTTTGGATTTGTCACCTCCATGCAAAGCAAACATCGCCATATTATTACGGTCTTATTTCAAAGCCCAGTCTATTACCCTGGCACGATAAAGTCCTGCCGGCGTGTGAACCGGTCTAGACATTTGGGCTCCATGCTTACCTGCCTCCTCTGGTATTTACATACAGAAGCATATGCAATTGGGGCTTGATAACCTTGCAGATGTCCAGGCTAGGTGTGTGCACCATCAGCATAGATCCCTGCGATGGGGATCGTGCACGCACAGGGCCCAACTCAAAGGCTACAAGACTCCCAGTAACCTTTGGATCTAGTCATCTACAGCCCCCAAGTTTGTGTGCATCAGGGATTGTGTGCTTAGATCAAGGGCTTGCAAGAGTGCTCACTTGAAAACTTAGGCCCATGCCTCTGTTCTCTATTATACAAACCTCCCTGTCCCTGAAGCTCATCCCTTACCTGACGGAGAGCGTGAAGTCACCTGGATTGCTCTTACTGGGCCGGGCCAGAAAGCTCCCATGGACTCCCCTGGTCAGAAGCAGCTTCTCTGCCTCTAGTCCGTTGATGTTGGGATGAAACCACCTGCAACAAAAACAGGGAGTGTGAAAAGGAGCATGCAGTGTGCTCTCTCATTGCAGACTGAGAACTATCCCCCTGCGGCCTTTACCCATCCATTTAGGCAGTATCTTACCACTGCAGTTCCCATCACCACCTCCTTCACAACAGCCTCAAAAGGGAAGAATGGAAAGTATCGCATGCTACTTGAGAGGCTGTGTGTCAGGAGTGTTGCAGAACGACGTGGGAGGAAGTTGGAGATCTAAACACTTCCCTATCTCTCTGCATAATCAGTGGGAAGCTAAAGGACACGAGTCAAAGGGCTTCCATGACTGGAGATGCAGGAGAGGGGGGATGTTCCCCCTCTACAAACACATACACAGATGCACACGATCTTGCTCTATGCAATTATACACCATCAGCGGCACCTGGATTTCAGTGACCTGTCAGTGCCACTTGCCCAGCGACAATTATTCTTTTTCCCCATCAGCGCACCTTCCTGTAAGTTCTCGGCTCTAGGGAAATAGGACGTCTTCCTTTCCTCAGGAAGCATCAATGTCTGGGAAAAAGTAATGCTCAGGCTCCAGCCATGACAGATTTATCACGGGGGGGGGCCTAGGCAAGCAGTCACCCATCAAGCTAACATTATCCCTGGGAACAGTCTGCCACCTTAAATCAATTTGGCCCAATACAAGATGCGTCTGTGCTTGTGGTATTCATTTAAGGGCTTGTGTGGGCGTCTCTTGGGATGGAAGAGCAGCAAAAAGAAACCAAAATAGCAAAAGCACAAATCTTCTTGCGCCGTCTCATTGTCGAAGCACCCCAGCAACAAGGCAAGGACGAGGCTGTCTGCTTTCCCCACGCCGATTCTGCAGCCAGAGCTCTAATGGCCGGAGAGAGCAGCCCAGGCCTTGTTACCTGGAGTCTGCTGCCAGAGCAGGGGAGGCATGGGGCCTGGCCAGCAGCTTACTGGGCCACGGGGGGTGGACGGGGATTTTTAAAGGGCAACCCAGAACCCATCGGGAAGTATGCATTGCAAGGTCCCTCTCTGTGCTCTGGTGAAGAAGCCTTTGTAGATCTCGGGGCACTCCTGTTCCTTCCCTGGCGGGAATGCGAGCCATCCCACAAGCGATGCTTAAAAATATGCTTAGACTCATGTCTAAAGCAGAGCCTCTCCAGCAGGTGGGTTTATGGGAAAAACAGGGAAAGCGACAAAACAGAAAAGGGAAGCCGTGCTTCTCGGGGCTCCTGACGCTAGCTTCTGCACTTTACAGGAAGTGCTTGTGGAAAGGCATAGGAGAGACATTTCCCCATACACCAAGGCGAAAATATTTCCTCATGATTCAGCCTATTTTAATGCAATCTCTGGCTTCTAAGTGTCATCGCACCACCCTCTCGCCTTAGTCCTCGTGGTATCAGTCATTATCAAAAGGTCTCAATGCAATCACAAGATACTGGTGCTTCCCCAGAGCAGTACCCAGTAGCATATGTATAGGGTTAAAGGCCATGATTTTCCAGGCCCGACTGATTTGTAGGGGTTGCAACCTGGCATAGCACAAGAACTTGTTTTACTGGAAATCGCATCTGCCCTCTGCAATGTGGGCCCCTTTAAGCGGTCTTGAGTTGCAAGGCTAAAAAAGTGGAAGCAACATCACGAGGCACTTTAGGAAATCTAGAGGTTTATTAGATGCTGCTAGCTGGGCCGTGCTAACCAAGGCTGCCTCACGCCACACCTTTAAATCCTATTCAAAAGATACCCTCAAGCAAGTCAGCTACTGGAACAGCATTTGCTGCATCTCTCCTAAGCCCCAGCCAACTGCATAACAATGCAAAGCTGTATCCAGTGAGGCAATGAAGACCACGAAAGGGAAAATTGCAGTCACTCAGGGTCCCCTTCCAAAGATAAAGAATGGCTTTGTACGAGATGTCGTTGGTGTGAAACCGGCCGTAACACCACGCTAGACAAAGTGAGTCCAAAAGGCAGCGCCACATTTTCAAATCAAAGTGAAATCGGGGTCTCCGAATGAAAAGCGGGTCTTGGGATACTTAAGGCTAACTCCCTGCGCAGAGGCATTTTATAACAGAGATGAACTACCCAAGCCTTCCGGGAAGTAGTAAATTGTCTCTGTTTTACAGAAGCGGGGAGAAATTGAGGGACCGGACTGACTTGGCCTTAGGTCGGTGTGTATGTGCATGTGCACATGCATCTCACAGATTTAAATAGACAAGACCGAGAAAGGTGGCATTTTGCTTCTCAGTCAGGGATCTTTTTCCCTTCTCGGTGAAATGCTCCAACGATGAAAGTTTCCCTGTGTCTAAGCCAAAAGAGCGCGTCTTGAGAACAGCACGGGGAGGTCGCCTGGAGACGAGGATCTGAACGTTTTAGAGCCTCTGACTTCTGAGACCACGGAGTGACACCCCTTTGGTGATTATACAGCTATGATAGAGTGTGGGAGCCATGTACTTAAAGTGCTCTGTAAAATTGCTGCAGCCAGAGGAAAGAACGACTCTAATGGAGTTTAATGGAGCTTGGGGACAAGGCAAAGTTGCTAAATGTCATGGGTAATGTTTTAACGGAGACCATAACAGCAATAAAGATGGGGTGAAGCTGTATGGCTTCTTTTTTTTTTTTTAATTTTCTATCTAGGCAAACATATGGCAGGTTACACAGGTCTCCAAATCCTTACAGTGGTCCTGATATACCTCTCCTGCAGGTACCTCCTCTCAAACTTGGCCAGGTCAAATCCAGGTCCCGGGATTGATGCATTGTGTGGCATATTCTGCATCAAGGACATATGCCTGTATCATTTAAAATGCACGTGCACACACAATGCAAGTCTATATAGCCCTTTGCTAACCTTTAATAATAATTTCTGGATGCAGCATTTTAGCTGCAACTGCATTTTTCAGTGCTGGAAGCCAGGGTGGCTTTAAGGTTGTTGTTAATGGCAAAGGCACTGGGGGGCTTTGCACTTAAATGCTCTGGTGCTTGGCCTGAGAACATGGTGGGAAGAGGGCTTGTCACGTTGTTAATGGCTCAGCACATGATGGATTGGGTGTGGGACCTCATGACTGTTACGGGGACTTTGGAAGAAGGTAGCTAAAGGACGGGTCCATTTTCCCCCAGCTTTTCACTCATTCGTGCCTCAGCCTTTGCTTAGCAGCTCTGCCTTAGACTCGGGGCAGACCTCCAAAGGAACATAGGAGCTTCTCCAAGGGCATCGCCAACAATTTTGGGGTAGTTCACTCCACAATGGGAGCTGCCCCCGTAAGGGGTAACAAGAAGGATGGAGTTTCATGCTTGTCCCCTTTGCTCTTCGGTTATGCTCAGCTGTAGCAAGACACCATCAAAGCTCCTTTTTGTGGTCGCTCCCGCTGCTTGGACCAGATTCAATCGATGCAGGCACGCACCGCCGGTGCGCCTGTTGTTTAGCTAACATGAAGCACACGTACGCTGAGCTGAGGAGAAAACCCAGGTGGTCCTCATAAACAGAGAAGGCAGGAAAGGCCAATTTCTAAATTCGGCAGTGGAAAAAAAATCTCTTCCAAGCATTAGCAGGTTTCTCCCACGGTTCACAAGCTACAACTCCCCCACCCCAGCACCGGGAGACGGGGAAAAAGAACTTCTCAGCTCGTTTCATCTTCTGAAGACTTGTGTGCAGGAGGGAGTGATTTGCTGAGAATAGCCTGGGGATAAGCCCTGTTTCTGAGCCGGGGAACTGAAGGCAGGTTCGCAGCATGAAAAGGATGACTTCAAGAGGGAGTTTATCTCCAATCGGTAGCTCCATTTCCTGAACAGAGGGCTTTTGCCAGGTGGGCTCTCAGCCGTACGCTATTGGAGCAGCTGTGCAGAAACCTAAGGACTTGCCCATTGAGCTCCAAGCACATGCTCCAGCCCAAATCTTTCACAGAGCTCAAACAAATGAAGCCACAGCCATCAAGCCCCGTCCCATCTAGTTTCATGGTCGAACTTGGTACAAGAGGCCCAATGCCCCCAAACTGGAAGCGACTTCTGGAGTAACTTTGACCCTGATCAGAAGCAATGCCCTTGTCGACTGTGCTTTCCATCCATTGCACAAATTATTTCTCTTCTTGAAAAGTTACAGCGACCAAGAAGAGCGACCAAGAACAGCCATGGCTGTTTTGCACCAAAGGTCAAGTCCCGTGGTATTTTTTTCCCCTCTATATTAGTTCAGTTTCAAAACCAAAATTATCAAAAAAGAAAAAAAAAAACCAACCCAGGCTTCTTTATTTATGAGTACCACAGAAGACACCTGTATTTTGTGTATGGCAAGACGTTTTCTATTCTAGAAAGTGTGGCTGCTTTAACCATACACTCATGCTTAAAGTAGCAACCTTCACTTGAATTATAATTGGTCTAAAAGTGCTTTTGCTGCTTTTTTGTTTCCTGAATTTAAAACAAGCCACGTCATCATAAGGGATCTTTATATTACTATTGCTGTGTTGTACTCTGGGGCTTTTACTGGCATAAGTTTGTCGAAGGGAAAAAAAAAAATTCACACCCTCAACCAGTAATGCTGTGCTACTAACAAGTAGTATAAAATAGCCCTAAATGTGATGCATGGGCTATGCAGATTTGGATGGTGAGGAATAAAAAATGCTCTGTGGTATATTTGAACCTCAGGTTTTGATTCAGCCCTCTGGAAGACACCCGCGTGTGCACACGAACACGCACGGATTTTATAAACAGTCTTGCCATATTTTGGAAAGGCAAGAACAATAGGAAACCATTGCTCCTCTAACCATTGTAGGAGCGCCCTTGTTTAAATGGTGTGTTTTATTTGAAAGTGGTGCGTTGGTGCAATTATTGAATTGTTCCCTCGTTCTGTGAAACTTAGCCCAGGAGAATTAATGTGAACAAACAAACCAAGAGAGAGATCTAGCCAATTTGAAGGCGTTTATGCGAAGCAGAAATCTACTTGAGGCAGACTTGATTTTTCTGTGAGGAAATGAAGATTTCCTCCACGGTTCACTTAAAAACCAAATAGAATTTAAATTAAAAAAAA